TATTTCAGGGTCACTCCCACCCTGCATGTGACAGGTCTGGCTCTGATGCCCAAGCTGTAAGCAAACTGACAACTTACTGTTTAAGATCTGTGAACCTTCCTTCCCAGAAGAAACTAAGGCTTGTATTAGTTTCACTCAGTCTGATCTGCAGCAGAGATTCCTACAGAGAAAAATGCCTGTCTTGCAGAGAAGATCCATTAGCAAACTGACAAGATTCCTCTATCAGTGCTTCATGAAAAGGTTTCATTAGCAAGAGATAATTAGTTCAAAGAAAATTCTGAAAATATGCAGTGCCAAATTATAGAAGATGGCATTTCCCCCAGTTTGCTTGTTTACTACTGTGTACGTTTCAATCAGCATGGCAAGTTCTATATAAAACTGTATGCAACTTCCCCGGGAACTATAAATACAACAGAATCTCACTAATTCATGTAACGAGAGGGAGATTATTTGCAATTTAGAAAGTAAGCAAATCAGTGAAGGGGTTTGGGGGTGGGGGGTAGGACATTTAAAAAGAGTAATTTTAATTAGTAACAATACATATTCTGCAGTACATTTGTTAAAGCAGGATTTGAAAAATCCACTAGTTGAGACCTCAGTGAGTGAAAAGATCCATACGATACATTTCTGCAGAATCTAAGATTTAATTAGAAGAATATGTTTCTAGTCCTTTTAGAAGCTTTTCACCATAACGAACATGGACTCAGTGTAGAATGATATAGTGCTGTAGCCCTGAATCTGGAAACAGGCAGTCTCAGTGCCTCTTCGTGTGCTTATAGCTTTGCCAAGCAGGTGAACGGTAACTTTAGAATCATAGAATATCAGCGTTGGAAGGGACCTCAGGAGGTCATCTAGTCCAACCTCCTGCTCAAATCAGGACCTAATGCCCAACTAAATCATCCCAGCCAGGGCTTTGTCAAGCCTGACTTAAACCTCTAAGGAAGGAGATTCCACCACCTCCCTAGGTAACCCATTCTAGTGCTTTACCACCCTCCTAGTGAAAAGGTGTTTCCTAATATCCAACCTAAATCTCCCCCACTGCAACTTGAGACCATTACTCCTTGTTCTATCATCTGGTACCACTGAGAACACTGAGATTCTTTAATAAGAATCTGATCAGTTTCACAGCTATTTAGAACCTCATGCACAACAGTGACACTTTTAAGAACCATATGCAACTTGGGCAAACTATAGGTAGCACCACAGGCAGGAACTAGAGTTATGACCCAGGAGGACCATCCTCTCCTTCCCCCTGAAAAAAATAGGCTGGGAGTTTTGGGGCAGCAGTCCTCTTTCCCTCTTTGCACCATCAGAAAATTCTGGGAGAAGACAAAAGTAACAAGGACCTCTTTCCGAACACAATGGCCAGGAAGGTGAGTTAGGGTAAAGTAGTTACAGGTAGGGCATGAGGGGAAGATTTTAATTACCTGTAGCCCCTGGAGGGAATGGAAAAGGAGATGCAGATTCAAATTTCAGACCCACCAGTAACCAGAGGCTGATGGCAGAGATGGAGGTCCCCCTAAGTAAGGTCTAGAGACAGCACACTAACAAAAATTCTAGGACCTGATGGGGCAGAAAAGCTGAGATTCCTAGCAAGGGTGGTGCTGCTTCAACACCTTCTTCTCTGTTTTTTGTTTGTTTAACTCCAGCAGCTAGTATGTCTGGTCATTTTTTTCAAAACCTGAGTAAAAGTAGTGAAATTTCTGCAATAAGACTTTACACTACACCAACCTATTAAATTCTTGCTAAAAATTAGGGAGAGTGCCTGTCACAGCCCTGGCTGAGTTTCCCCATCACGATCAGAAAAGAGACTGCTGTACTGGACCCAACCTTTGGATATGGCCTCCTAGGTCTGAGCAACATCCTCGCAATCTCTAAATCCAGCCTCTCTGGCACACTCCGGGGGTACAGACCCCTGTCTAGTAGCCCTCCTAGGGATATGGGACCCCATAGTCAAGCTGCCCAAGGCCCAAAGACCAGTACTGACGCCACAAGCGGGGGTCACAAGATTATTTTAGGGGGATTGCAGTATTGCCACCCTTACTTCTGCACTGCCTTCAGATCTGGGCGGCTGAAAGCGGCGTCAGCTGTTAGCTGGGCAGCCAGATCTAAAGCTAGTGCCCTGCCAGCAGCAGCGCAGAAATAAGGGTGGCAATACTATACCTAGCCATCCTTCCTTCTGCACTGCTGCTGGCGGCGGCGCTGCCTTCAGAGCTGGGCTCCCGGCCAGCCGCTGCCGCTCTCCAGTTGCCCAGCTCTGAAGGCAGCGCCACAGCAATACAGAAGCAATGGTAACAGTACCGCAACCCCCTCCCCACAAAACCTTGTAACTCCCTCCACAACTCCTTTATGGGTCAGGACCTCTGAAATTACAACACTGTGACATTTCAGATTTAAACAGCTGAAATCATGAAATTTACGATTTTTAAAATCCTATGACCATAAAATTGACCAAAATGGCCCCTGAATTTGGTAGGATCCTAATTATAACACTCTTCTATTTCACTATCTGGCAGAAGCATCCAGGCGGTTGTGACCAGAGACCTCCCAAAATGGTTAGCAGCCCAGGAGTCTGTTTTCCCCACAGGAGACTCAGCAAAGCAAAGGGGGGCAAGGCGCACGTGTGGCCCTTTTTCTGCCTTGCAAGTCCTCAGGAAGCTGCAGTGACCCCGGGGTCGGGTAGCGTCCCGCTCCGGAGGTGCTGATGTAAGTCCGGGAGAAGCAGGGCCTCCAGGCCGGTGCTTCGCAGCTGGAGAGAAGCACAAGGGAAGTGCTCAGCCCCTCTCTCACTCTGGGCCACTTTACACGGAAGCGAGCAGAGTTCTTACAGAAAATCCGGGGCCCGGCCCTGGCCTCCGCGGGGGAAAGAGACTCGGCGGCCGCGCGGAACAGAGCCTGTCCCGCCCCAGGGAAGATGCACAGAGAACTTCGCCCCCCCATGAGTCTCGGTATGGGGGAGGGGCAAAGACTGAAACAGACACGGACCGGCGGGGCGGGCAGGATCAGGAAGCCGGGGGCGAGGGGTCGCAAACAGAGAAAGCTCCCCCCCTTTTTTCCTAGGACTCCCCCATAGCGATTCTCCGCTCGCCTATACTCAGCGCCCGCACCCACCTGGGCCTCCCGGCGGCAGTTTGTATTTTACCGGCAATTCAAGCCCAGCCGCGGGAACCGCCCCCCACCTCGTCTCCCGATTCGCATTAGCAGATTCATCGCTCGCTCTCCGCCGCCTACCTGCCATAGAGCGCCCGGGTCAGCTCCACAGCGAAGCCCTGTTGCCAGGCGACTCCCACTTGCGGGCGGGCGGGGGCGGGACAGGGAAGATTAGCCCTGGGCACTGGCCAGGCTCGTGCAGAATCTGCCGACACAAATCTGACAGCAGTTTCCGCTTCCGGGAAGTCTCGCGGCGCTGACGTCACTTCCAGCAACAACAGCAAACGTCAAAACTCAGGAGCGAGAAGGGGGCGGTGGCAGCGACGGCGGCGCAGAGGGCTCTCATCTCATCTCCTCTCCCTCCCCCTCCTCCCCCTCCCCGTGTCCGGTGCTTCCTGAGTTCGTTCCCAGCCGGCGAGGCTCACGCACCGACTCGGTTCGTCGCGGCGGCGGTTGGGATCGGAGCTTGGAGAGGTACGAGAGAGCCCCGAACTTGGTCCGTGGGGTCGGTGCGGAGTGATTGGCACCGCGGCCAATCAGAGGTCGGCGCTAGGGTGGGGCTGTCTGAAAGGGCCAATCCGGCTCAGGGGCGGGACTTTCCCTGCCCGGTTGGGTCTGTGTGAGAGCCAGAGGCTGGCGCTGGGAGCAACATTACCCTAAAGCTGCTCGGAGACCGCTGAGTCTCTGCTCGGCCGGCTCCTGCCTGCTCCACGCTGCGCCTTCAGTGCCCGCGCCTGCCCGCTCCCTCCCAGCACACACACACGCCCCTTTCACTGCCTATGGGCGAGTAATCTCTCCACCGCCTTTTCTTCCTTAGGGCGCTGGGGGGTTAGTCCTCTGTTGCCCATGGGCGGGAGCTTTATTGGGGGGAGAGATAGGTGACGATACAACAGGCTGATGATGATTCCGAGTTGCTCGGAGCAGCGTGTGTCTGAGTAAGGTGTAACCTAGAGTGAGGGCTACCTGGGGTCTCCAGCGAGGGAAAGGGGATGCTGTTGGCACTTCGAATTTCCTAAGGAGATAGTGACAGCTCTGACAATCATGGACATGAGGAAACGGAATAATCTTTTAACTAACTAAATAATCTTTTAACTAAAATAATCATTTTAAAAACTTTTTTAAAACTCTTATTAAATGCACCTCTGGCTTCCAAACATCCACGTTTAGTAGTAATATTAATGATGCTTCATGGCCTGCATACCGGACTGGAAGGGAAGGTGCACAGTGCACTAGCCCTTGTGCTCACCAAGTGGTGGAATTTTCAAATTTGCGCTAAGGAACTGGCATTTATCTTGAACCAAAACAGTCACTGCTGTGAGCACAGGCCATTAGCACTGAAGGATATGTCACTGCAGTTTCACACAGTTCAGACGACCTGGTATTTCTATCAACGAGACCATGATTTGACTTTTAGTATTCTGCAGCACACACCAGCAGTGTAATACTTACCATAACGTAGCACATAGAAGCCATGTCCAGGATTGGGGCCTGCTTGTGATAGGCTCTGTACAGAAAAAGGTAGATAGGATAGCGAATGTATAAATAAATGTTAGTGGCTTTCCTCTACTCACAAGGGTAGGCCACTCCATCGGAGTCTCCATAGGTAGGGAGGACTGTACAATTTTGAAGTCTTGGAAATACACCCAAATGATTTATTTTGGTATAAACATTGAAGATGGAGACTTTCAAGTAGAAAATTAAACTGGCTACTAGTTTATACAATACAATTATATTGACTCTTATTTACTCCTTCCCTCAGATGATTTTATGCCCAGAAATGGGTTTACCCATCATGTTGTAATAGTGAGTTTCTAAAGTGTTCATCTTGATTACTGCAAAACTGAAAATAATTGCTTGATGGGGAAAAATAAGACATCAGATCTAACAAACGGCAGATAAGCTCTTAGTTACAAATGTATTACATCTTATGGCTTTATGATGATCAGTGCTTAGCTAGTTAAAATGTGTCTCAACCTGTTGCATCTGTGAAATCTGCTCATTTGGTATTTAACTTAAAATATCTGTTGTCCTTTATTTTATCATTCCTAAAATGAGAGAGATTTTAATGAAGGATTTTGATTTTTAAACAGATTTCACCTTTTGATATTTTTCTATAAAAGTATGGGTGTATTTCACAAAGAACCTGTTTTTTCAAATATTCTGTCATACTACTTGCATTTGTATCCCTGGATATCAGCCATACTTACTCTCTAATGTGAAATTGATTAGAAGTGATTGTGGTCTGACTTCTGAGGTGAAAAGATTACCAGGAGCACTGAGAAAATGTTTATTTTCTTTCATTATAAATGAATGTTGACTGGCTTTTGTGTATAAAAACCCGGTGTAGCGGCTTTTTCCATGTTTTATTTACAGCTAAAGGAAAGGTTTAATCACCTGCAACCATTATGAACACAAGTACTACCTATAGACAGATAATCCATTTTGCAGAGGATCAGAAGCTAGTATAAGAAAAACTTGGGTGTTTGCCTGGTGGTGTAAAGTTCACTTGATAATTCAGCAGGCGTGATCATTCCATGCCCTATTTCTGATAATGCTCTTTATTTCTCACCTGTAAACCTCTCTGGAATACTCTGACCCAGGGAAAATATGGTCTTTCAATGTCTTGTAATACTGGAAAAAGTGACAGCTTGAGTTAGCAATCTTCATTTGTTGGATTCTCCTCACACTTTTCAGAGCCCAGAGGATTCTTCTCCCATATCCTACTTTCTCCTTTTTCACACTTCAGTATTGTTGTAGATCTCTTGCTATCTAATTATTATTTTATCATTTGTTTAGTTCCAACAATATCCACAGCACTGTACAACGTGCAAAAATAAAGATCATCCCTGCTTCAAAGAACTACAGGGAGGGGAAAAATGAGGAAGGAGAATGGATGGGAAGAAAAAGTTTAGGCATAGAGAAGAAGGAGTAGGGGAGGAAGAGGGCAGAAGTTCTGGTGAGGCAGACCAAGTAATTACCATTAAATGTCCATTGAAAAGTCCATGAACTGCAGCTGAAGGAATCTAAGGTCCAAGTAACAAATTCAAGAAATCTAGTTTCTGTGTCAGGTCATGAGGAAATGTGGGCTTTACAGCTGAGAGTTTATTGGGGTAGGGGTAGGCTGTATGGTGGAGGACGCTTGCCAGAATCTGACATCTTGTGCCATCATCCTAGACTGAATTTTGAAGGACAGATCAAATTGCCTCAGATCTGTCAACAGCCTGCAAGATTAGCTGGCAGACTTGACTTAATTCCAAAATTGTATTTGGGTGGGAGGATACTGTCACAATGTCAAGACACTGCATCAGAATGTGATGACCTGTCATGACAACACCAAAGCTATCACAATGCAAACATCACATCACTTCCTCAGGATCTGTGAGAAGGTGTTTGTGAGCAGCAGCAAATCTTAAAATGAAAGGAGGGGCTGGTTGCACTAACTATTATTAAAGGTGCTTGACATTTTCCACTATAAAACCATGATTTTTCAGTTGTTAATAATTTTGTCAAACTGTAACCATTTTGGCTGAAATGCAGGTATCCACCTCAGGCTGAATTTTTGGGGGATAATTTCAGCCAAATGGTTCAACCATTTCTGATTGAGGCTAGGAAAAACATGTTTCCCCCATGTAAAAAAATGTGGCAACCTTTTCTTTGCTCTAGCACTCCTATACTTTGAATCAGGGATTTGAAATTGAGAAGGAATGCATATTTTGTGATCTGCATAAAAATCAACCCAAATTTGGCCAAGTTATAAGCATCTGAAAAATTGCAGTTTGCACATGGTCAGTAGAGACTTGCTGGAGCTTAATAGGTAAAATCCCAAAAGAATCCTCACTGAACCCCTCAAAAGAATCCATTCTCCTTTCACACCTGCTAGTGCTGACCAGATGCTGCATGTGCCATCCCCACAGAGTGACTGAGCATGCTCCAGCACAGGGCAATGGGGATTAGAAGGATTCTTCCTGTATTGGCTGCTTTGGGCCTAGGATGAGCATCAGAACTGAAGCCTGTCTCTCCTGCACTGTCAGTGATCCCTCTGCTGGCATCCTGGCAGCATGGAGGAGGAAACCATATATCTCAAATGCACATGGGACAAAAGCCAGTTGAGGGTGAGGAAAAGGAGTAGATTGGGACAAGAAATCTGATGAGACTGGGACTGGAAGAGGAGGAAAGTGAAACCGGGAGCTGGAGAGGAGGAGCACTAGGACTAGCTGGGCAAGGGGACTGGGAGCTGCAGAGGGAAGACTGGGTTTGGGAGCTGGTGAGGGAAATGGAGGCAGGGGCTAGAGACGGCTGTGGGGTAACATGAGATTGGACAAGGAGCTGGGGGAGTGGAGAGAGACTGGGACTAGAAAACAGTGTGGGGGAAAAAGAAAGATCTGAAAAGGATCTAACATAGGGGGATAACTGGGACTGGCTGGGCAAAGACTGGGGCAAGATGCTGGGGAAGAGAGAGATGTGTGTATGTGGGGGGCGGGGGGAGACTGAGATGGGATATGGAGCCTGGGGAGGAAGAGTGGGAGGCAGTGGGAGAGGGAACTTTGAATTGGTCAGGTTGGGCAAGGTACTGGGTGCGGTAGGGGAAGAGGCTGGGAGTAAAGAAAGGCATGGAGATTAGGACTTGGAGAGCAAGATCGGGGTGGGGTGACTAGGACTGACTGGGCAAGCTGGCTGGAACGGTGACAAGGAGCCAAGAGTGGGGAAGACACCAGATAGGGGCAGAGTGGAGAGGATGGGACAGAATGGGTCAAGCATGGGAGGAAATAAGTCTATTAGAACACTCTCTCTTGTAGAGTATGAAATTAAACCCAAGATTCCTAAGTCTATATTTTAGTCATGTTAGTAAATATATGGGAATTCCACTGGCAAAGTACATCTCTCATCCCCCTCTCTAGTAGTGGTCCATATAGGAAATCACAATCTACTATTGCTATGAGTTACTCCATTAGTTTAAATGGCTGAGGTCTTTGCAGATTAGGTCTAACATCCTATCTCATAGAACTGGAAGGGACCCCAAAAGGTCACTGAGTCCAGCCCCCTGCCTTCACTAGCAGGACCAAGTACTGATTTTTGCCCCAGATTCCTAAGTGGCCCCCCTCAAGGATTGAACTCACAACCTTGGGTTTAGGAGGCTAATGCTCAAACCACTGAGCTCTCCCTCCCACTGCAGAACAGCTAAAGGTTCTAGACATGCTGATGACCATGTGGATGAAAATATGACAGCACCTAATTAAATTTCTGTATCTTAAATTTGCTTTATTTAAAACCTAGGAAATTATATAAAAGATCCCCTACAGTAAAAGAACATTATTAAGGTTGCAAAGTCAAACACTCAAATATGAGATGCCTGTGCAACATTAATTTGTCCCCTTTAATTCACTGACTGGGAACTGTGGATGAATAGATGAAATACTATATAATACTATAAGTACACTGAAAACTCAGGTCCTATCTCTCTCAAATTGGATGTC